ACGCGGCACATCAAGGCTCACAGCCCCTACCGCTGCTTCTTCTGCGAAAGCTCTGAAGCCTGGTCCTTCAACGTCCCCTCCGAGTTCGTCTTCAAACTGGAGAAGAAGCCCATCTAACGAACAGTCAACCGACGCCTTTACTCCATCCCGCGATCAACCGCCTCACTTTCCTCATTCTAACACCCAACACTAGTGGCTACCATTTTATTTCTATAACCTAGACCCAAGCCTAGAGGGTCATTTCTATAACTTAGACTTAAGCCTAGAGGCCATATCTATAATGCTTAGGATTTTTTGAAAGGCATTTCAAATGTAGGCCTGGGTATTTCATAGTGAATTTTCCATAGATACCCAGCGCATTTTCTGCAAAGTTTCAAATGCAGCCCTGGATATTTCATTGTGATTTTTCAATAGATACCCTGGGCATTTCATTGCGATTTTTCAAATGTATCCCTGGATATTTCATTGTGATTTTTCAAATGTATCCCTGGTGTATTTCATTGCAAAATTTCAATGGATACCTGGCGCATTTCATTGCGATTTTTCAATAGATACCCTGGGCATTTCATTGCGATTTTTCAAATGTATCCCTGGGTATTTCATTGCGATTTTTCAAATGTATTCCTGGGTATTTCATTGTGATTTTTCAAGAGATACCCTGGGCATTTCATTGCAAAATTTCAAATGTATCCCTGGATATTTCATTGCGATTTTTCAAATGTATTCCTGGGTATTTCATTGCGATTTTTCAATAGATACCCTGGGCATTTCATTGCAAAATTTCAAATGTATCCCTGGATATTTCATTGCAAATTTTCAATGGATACCTGGCGCATTTCATTGCGATTTTTCAATAGGTACCCTGGGCATTTCATTGTGATTTTTCAAATGTATCCCTTGGTATTTCCTTGCGATTTTTCAAATGTATTCCTGGGTATTTCATTGTGATTTTTCAATAGATACCCTTGGTATTCCATTGTGATTTTTCGATAGATACCCTTGGCATTTCATTGCGATTTTTCAAAGGTATCCCTGGGTATTTCATTGCAAAATTTCAAATGTAGCCCTCGGCATTTCATTGTGATTTTTCAAATGTATTCCTGGGTATTTCATTGCGATTTTTCAATAGATACCCTTGGTATTTCATTGCAAAATTTCAAATGTAGCCCTGGGCATTTCATTGCGATTTTTCAAATGTAGCCCTGGGTATTTCATTGTGATTTTTCAATAGATGCCCTGGGCATTTCATTGTGATTTTTCAAATGGAGCCCTGGGCATTTCATTGCAAAATTTCAAATGGAGCCCTGGGCATTTCATTGCAAAATTTCAAATGTAGCCATGGGCATTTCATTGCGATTTTTCAAATGTATCCCACATGTCAGGGTCCATGCAA